CACGCACGCACACACACACACACACACACACACACACACAGTGAGTCGTTTAGAGGAAATCAGCCTCCTCCTCATCATCATCATGTCCTGAGGCGCAGCTAATGCACCTGCTGCATGTCACACTAATGATCCACAGCCACATGTGAACATCTGCAGACGCCTGCTGTTCATTACCACTGCGCTTCTGAAGTTTAGAGGGAGTCAACTGTAAAAAATAAATAGTTGAGAAAATGTAAAAAAAAAATAAGGCAACTTGATGCTGTAAGACTTTTGAGTTGTCTCAACAATATTTTTTTAGTTATTTTCAGTAAAGATACTTTGTTTAGCCAACATAATTTTTTTTTTGTTCATGCAAAGCTGATTGTCTTATGTTGGTAATAGAAAAAAATGTGTTACTGCAACTGAAACAGCAATTACTGTTGTTGAGGTAACTTTGTTTTTTCCTGGATGAAAAAAGAATGTGTTAATGTTTTTTTAATGTTTATCTACGAATGGCAATCTGGGAAATGTTATAGAAACTTTAATGGATAACTTAGTCTAATATGTCGACAACATTGTCTCACACACACACACACACACACACACACACAGTGAGTCGTTTAGAGGAAATCAGCCTCCTCCTCATCATCATCATGTCCTGAGGCGCAGCTAATGCACCTGCTGCATGTCACACTAATGATCCACAGCCACATGTGAACATCTGCAGACGCCTGCTGTTCATTACCACTGCGCTTCTGAAGTTTAGAGGGAGTCAACTGTAAAAAATAAATAGTTGAGAAAATGTAAAAAAAAAATAAGGCAACTTGATGCTGTAAGACTTTTGAGTTGTCTCAACAATATTTTTTTAGTTATTTTCAGTAAAGATACTTTGTTTAGCCAACATAATTTTTTTTTTGTTCATGCAAAGCTGATTGTCTTATGTTGGTAATAGAAAAAAATGTGTTACTGCAACTGAAACAGCAATTACTGTTGTTGAGGTAATTTAGTTTTTTCCTGGATGAAAAAAGAATGTGTTAATGTTTTTTTAATGTTTATCTACGAATGGCAATCTGGGAAATGTTATAGAAACTTTAATGGATAACTTAGTCTAATATGTCGACAACATTGTCTTTGTTTGTAAAACATCTTACAAGACTAAATATCCAAAACAATGGATTTAAATGGCTGAACATGCTCTATGCCTTTAAAACCTCAAGAATGGTGGCAATCAATAAATGTTAAAAAGTTGAGCTCTTTATATCGCAGCACAACAAATAACTAACAATGTCAAAACAACAATAAATGAAGTCAGCAAACAGCAAAACAATAATCCTATAACAGTAACTGCATAATTTATTGATGCTGCAATGCATGCTGGGAACTCGCAAAGCCTTACCATTTCAGCAATATGAAATTATTTGTTCAGACAACTGTGTTTGACTAGTTGGGGCAACATTTGGGGCAATTCTGTTGGTCTGACAAGGGTTTTTATGTAGTTTGAAGAAAATGGCATTTTTTAGTATTTGAGACTCAAAAGGTTTTCAAAAACTGTAAAATATGCAGTTGCATTTTTTACAGAGTAACGGAATACATGTAACAGCGTTACGTAATCGGGATGCAAAAAGCTGGTAACTGTAATTCGTTACAGTTATGTCAAAAAAACAACGTAATCAGATTACAGTTATATTTTGTAAAAAATGGGAACTATTATCAGGATTACAATGGTTTCATTTTAGTAAGGAATAATTGACGACGGGCCGTTGAATTATTAGAAAATGAATGATCCGGTTGGTTATTTTCCTGTAAGGACCTTTGCAATAACTGAAATAATTTAGCGAAGTGATATGGACGTGTAACATGAGGAAGCAGAATATCCGATGACCACAGGAGCAAGTCCTCTTCTTTCATTACAATAGAACATTTTGCTCAAACCTGTGAGTTTTAACTGAATGCACATTTTGTCTTTGATCAGATATGCCAAATACTGCCAACAGACTAACTGCAATACTTCAGGATTAAACTTTGCAGTCATTTTTAATTGTTTAATGTTTGTTTAATGTTAACATAATTCAGTGCATCTATTCTTAAAATGTTCAAATTTGTATTCTGTATTTTTTCTGTTGCGGAAACATTTCTGTTGTGTTCTGGTTTCATATGAGCAGAGCATTTAGTTACAGCATAGATGGCATTTTCTTAAATATATAATATTGTGCATCAGATTATATTTTGCATCATATCCATAATAAATATAAGTATCCATGTATCTCTCTCTCTCGTATGATGGAGTGACGTTGGAGTGAGTTTGGACCCTTAGATCTGATGAAATCTGCTGTTAACGCTTCTCTGTCTCTCTGTGTCTCTGCAGATGGGAATGACACTCACATACGACCCTGCCGTCATGCAGAATGGGTACGTCTCTCTCTCTCTAAGTAATAATAAAAAAATAAGAAATATTTTTTTTTCTCATACATAACTTTAAATAAACAGTATATACAGTTATATTTGTGGATGTTTGCTTCAAAGCACCTTACACTGCAAAAACTCTTGTTTTCTGAAAGAAAAAAAAAGTTTAAAACACACACACACACGCACGCACACACATGTTGTGTATTCATCACGCACGCACACACACACACGCGCACACACACACACACACACGCACACACCCACTCACACACACACACACACACGCACACACACACACACACACACAGAGGAGGAAAGAGCGTCTCTCCCAGTGTGTTTTGCTCGCAGGAAATCCCTCATTTCCTGTTTCCTGTGTCTGTCTCCTAATAAAACATCCTGTATGATAAGAAATCAGAACAACACAGCTCTGATTATTTACAGTCTCATCACAGCGCCACCTACAGGACACACACACACACACACTGTCATGTGTGCTGGAAACGCATCATTTAAACATGCACTCAGTCATTTAATGTTGAATATATTGGTGGTCTGGATGTAATTATAGAAACACATCATAAACAGTTTTATTTGTCACCCTTGATTCATTTATTCCACAAGAAAGTGACAAAAATACAGTAATACAACTTTTTTAGCAAATACAACTTTTATTAAATCACAGTGACTGAAATAAAAACATATGACTGAAGTCTTCATCTGATCTCATTTGAATGGACGTCATCTTAAACCGATCTGACAAATTTAATATTCAATTGATTCTTTTTAAAAGAAGAAAAAAATATTTTTTCAATCAAATATAATATGCATGAATGTAAATTATAATTTTTTTTTTTTTCATATTCATAACTTGTTCATATCTGCAGTTGTTTTACATTCATTATTAATGTTGAATTATAAACATTAAACTTTATTTACATCAAATTTTAATTATTATTATGTAATTATGTATACAATATATATATTTAGCTCTTTCATTTTTTTATATTTTTGTCTTTTATCTCTTTAAAATTGAAGTGTAATGGATGGAAAAATGAATACTATCAACATTTCCTCACCCTCATGTCATTCAGAGATGTTTTTAGTTCTAGTTTTTAGTTTTGTATTTTCTATTTTCATTTTAATTTGAGTGTTTTAGTAACTTTTTATTTTTATTATTCATTATTTAGTCTTTTTTTCAAATATTTCTGTATAGTTTTGATTAAATTGAAAGTTTTAGCTATTTTAGTATAAGTTAAACTAAATGAAAATGAGAAATGCAACTAGCTGAAATGAAATTTCAGTTTTTTTTAATATATATATTTTATTTCGGTTAAAATAAATGTTTTCATTTATTTCAAGTAATGTTTTAGTTAACTATAATCACCCTGCTTGTGTGTATGTATATACTGTATCAGTTATGAATATCAGTAATATGTCAATTCTGTCTCTGTGTAGGTTCTACTCTTCTCCGTACAGCATCACTGCTAATCGGATGATCGCGCAGGCGTCCATCACTCCGTTCATCACTGCTTCACCCGTCTCTGCATATCAGGTGTGTGTGTGAGTGTGTGTGTGTGTGTGCGTGCGTGTGTGTGTGTGTGTGCGTGCGTGTGTGTGTGTGTGTGCGTGCGTGTGTGTGTGTGTGTGCGTGCGTGTGTGTGTGTGTGTGCGTGCGTGTGTGTGTGTGTGTGCGTGCGTGTGTGTGTGTGTGTGCGTGCGTGTGTGTGTGTGTGTGCGTGCGTGTGTGTGTGTGTGTGCGTGCGTGTGTGTGTGTGTGTGCGTGCGTGTGTGTGTGTGTGTGCGTGCGTGTGTGTGTGTGTGTGCGTGCGTGTGTGTGTGTGTGTGCGTGCGTGTGTGTGTGTGTGTGCGTGCGTGTGTGTGTGTGTGTGCGTGCGTGTGTGTGTGTGTGTGCGTGCGTGTGTGTGTGTGTGTGCGTGCGTGTGTGTGTGTGTGTGCGTGCGTGTGTGTGTGTGTGTGCGTGCGTGTGTGTGTGTGTGTGCGTGCGTGTGTGTGTGTGTGTGCGTGCGTGTGTGTGTGTGTGTGATCCATCACTGTGTGTGTGTGTGTGTGTGATCCATCACTCTGAGATTGATTTATCAGCATCAGAGCAGAGGATTAGAGCAGAGGTCTTCTGTTCATTGAGACCAGTTCACACCAAGCACAGATTAAACACCAATATGAAGCCCTTTTCTGTGGCTGTGCATGAAAATGTCTGTGCAAATATGAATATGTTTGTACTCTACCTCTAATATGGTTCTAGGTCAGTGTATATGTGACTGAATTACTGCAGTTCAATTTGCTTTTGCATTTTCAGTCATCAATTCAGAGTATTTTTTTATATATTTAGTGAATGGTTTTGATGCTAATTTTTAGTTGCAAGAATTCAGAAAACACAAATCACACATTCTTGAGTGATGTTTTGGTTTTGTTTAATTTCATTTACATTTATTTCTATAGCATATTTAAAACAACTCATTGAACAAAAGGCTTCACACTCTAAAACAATTTAATAAAAACAAAAGTGTAAGAAATGTAAATGATTATTAATCAATTAAATTATATGTTTTATTTTAGCATCGAGATACTGTTGCAATTTGTTTTCATATTTTGATTTCATTGTTATTTTTATAATTTCAGTTTCCATTTTAATTTTAGTTACTATATATTGTTTATTAATTAGTTTTTTGTAAATATGTCTATATAGTTTTTATACATTTTATTTATTCAGTACATCAAGGTAAACTAAATTAAAATGGAAAATATTGCTACTAGCTGAAATTGTTATTTCAGTTAATGTTTATTTCACGTAGCAGGAATGTATCTGTGTGCTTGTAGTTTTATTTAGCTATAATAACAACCCTTTAGCATGCCGTTTGTGGACAGTGTTTATGGTTTATGAATGCTGGATGAAGCTGTGTGTTGTTCCTCACAGGTTCAGAGCTCAGCGTGGATGCCGCCGCAGCAGTTTTTGATGCAGCCGACAGTAAGTGACCTCTGACCCCTGACCTTCCCTGTTTCTATGACTGGTTACATACACAAGCCTAGCAGAAACAGCTTCTTTAATTGCAAGCATTAGAGAGGCTATATTATAATGAAAAACTATGACTGTGGAAAAAAGTTGCTAAAAGTTTCACACTGATTCACAGAGGCATTGTGTTTGTTTTCATATTTTGATTTCATTGTTATTTTTATAATTTCAGTTTCCATTTTAATTTTAGTTACTATATATTGTTTATTAATTAGTTTTTTGTAAATATGTCTATATAGTTTTTATACATTTTATTTATTCAGTACATCAAGGTAAACTAAATTAAAATGGAAAATATTGCTACTAGCTGAAATTGTTATTTCAGTTAATGTTTATTTCACGTAGCAGGAATGTATCTGTGTGCTTGTAGTTTTATTTAGCTATAATAACAACCCTTTAGCATGCCGTTTGTGGACAGTGTTTATGGTTTATGAATGCTGGATGAAGCTGTGTGTTGTTCCTCACAGGTTCAGAGCTCAGCGTGGATGCCGCCGCAGCAGTTTTTGATGCAGCCGACAGTAAGTGACCTCTGACCCCTGACCTTCCCTGTTTCTATGACTGGTTACATACACAAGCCTAGCAGAAACAGCTTCTTTAATTGCAAGCATTAGAGAGGCTATATTATAATGAAAAACTATGACTGTGGAAAAATGTTTTTTGCTCAGTCTGACTGATTCTCAGAAGACATGAATTGCTATAAATGCTAAAAGTTTCACAGAGTTTAACAGAGGCATTGTGTGACAATATTTCAGTAAGCTCAAAAGAAAACAGCCTGTTATAAGTGTGTTTTATGCAGTGGGCATCGGATAAGAGTGCAGCTTTCTGAGAGCATGTGTAGTTTTAGACATGAAGGTTGTTTCTGTGTTTCATATGAGTTAGTTAGACACAATCGCAGAAACACACACTCTCTGCTGATTCAGTCTTATTCTCATATGAACTCCTAGAGCATGTTCCTCGTGCTGTTTCTCGAGTGTTTGCCATGTTAAAATCATTGATTGAGGTCAGCACTGAAATGAAACCAGACAGACAGATCGGCCGCACAATATGGAATCAGCCAACCATAACCCACGGTTATATGACATTCACTAAATCAATATCACTGTGCTGAAGTTTCATTTATTTTTACACAACACAAACTCATCAACTTGACCGTAACACTTTCTGGTGACCAGGTTCATGTGAACATAGACGTCCTTCTTTATTTCTACAGGAAGAACACAATGTTATCAATGTGAAAAAGAAAAAAAAGGACACTGCAAATCATGAGTATCTTTATCTGGTCTAACTGGAAAACAAGACAAAAAAGACTGATCAAGAACTTAATTTTTTGCAGTGAGTAAATAAGTAGATGCTAAATATGTGTATGTTTTCTGCCTCTGTGTGTGTGTAGGGAGCGGTCATCAGTCCAGCTCTAGATCACAGTGCTGCATCAGTGCCTCCAGCGGCCATAATGACTCCACTAACACAACAGATGAGTCAGCTGACACTGGGATCTTCTGCTAATGTGAGTTTATATGTGGGTTGTGTCTGCTCTCATCTCACATTTACTGAACACGAAATGTCACAAAAACATTAACTGTGTTTGGTCAGTGTAGTGTGTGGTCAGATGGTATAAGTGGTTTTTGGTCAGAATAATATATATCAGACTTAATACTAGACTATTTACCAGACTGTGTACCGGACGAAAAAAAATATGACTCTATACCAGAATATATACCGGACTATATAATCAACTATATAATGGACTAAAAGGCAGACTATATACCAGACTATATACTGAACTATATTCTAGAATATATAACAGACTATATACTGAACTATATACCAGCCTATATAACAGAATATACACTGATCTATATGCCGGACTATATAACAGACTATATACTGACTATATACTGAACTATATTCTAGAATATATAACAGACTATATACTGAACTATATACCTGACTATATAACAGACTATATAATGAACTATATGCAAGACTGTATACCAGACTATATACGGAACTATATACCACACTATATAACAGACTATACACTGATCTATATACCGGACTATATAACAGACTATATACTGAACTATATTCTAGAATATAACAGACTATATACTGAACTATATAACAGACTATATAATGAACTATATGCAAGACTGTATACCAGACTATATACTGAACTACATACCACACTATATAACAGACTATATAATGAACTATATAACAGACTATACACTGATCTATATACCGGACTATATAACAGACTATATACTGAACTATATTCTAGAATATATAACAGACTATATACTGAACTGTATACCTGACTATATAACAGACTATATAATGAACTATATGCAAGACTGTATACCAGACTATATACTGAATTATATACCACACTATATAACTGACTATATACTGTTATATATACAAGAACTATATAACAGACTATATGCTGAACTATATTCTAGAATATATAACAGACTATATACTGAACTGTATAC